ACAGGGAGCAGGTGATACTGGCCGGCCCTTAATATGGCTGTGGCTGTACTGACAGCATCACCTCCTGAGAATGGCCCATGTGCTGGTCTGGAGGAGCCTACTGTGGGAGCCAGGTGAGGGGGCGCTGTTTTCTTCTCACAGCTATGTGTGAATATATGTTTTTGCAACATGCCCATAGTTTAGACAAAAAGGCATTTCTAGTGAAATCCTACAATTGAGAGAAGACTGGGGTTCTGGAGGAAAGTGGGGTGAGTGCAGGCTACTTGTGAGTGGCCCTGAATGAACCTCACCCTTCAACATTCTCTGCCAGCTTAGTCAATATTTAATCTTTTCCCATTTGTTTCCCATTAGGACGCACATCCGAAACCTCTCATTAGCCCATCTTTCCAGAGAATAATGACTAATTTCCGACAGTAGCTTTCCTTTCTCCTACGAAGACCCTTCCATTATTGTAATTTACTGATGGAGGGGAAGAAATTGCAGACAATTTCCAGGGCCCAGGGACTGTGCTACAGGAAGGGACGCTACATCCTCGCCCTTGGCTGGGGTCCGGGGAGGAGGGAAATGTCAGGTTAATGTGACATCATCCGGCTTCATCCCATGGTTGGTCTGAATATGTGACTCCTTCAGGGACCAGAGAAAGAATCCACTTCAGGGACCAGGAGCTCAAAAAGCCACTCAGAACTCACACTCGGTCCTTGGAAAGCTTGCTGAGAGTGGGGTTCAGATCGGTGAGGCTCCTGTTGCCTGGTCAGCTCTGGGAAGGACCCACTGTGGAATCTGCAAGCTCAATGGCTTATGAGGATTTCTGAGAGGTGGTGCAGCAGTGTGCAGCTTTTGTTGTCCTAATGAGTCAATGCCAGCTACCCATGCTGTTCGTTATTATTATTTTCCTGTTTTTCCTGTTAAAAGAAGGTGTGGGAAGCCAGGAGAATTTCAGGCCTTTTAGATAAGCCCCAGGTCCCGGACAACAGGTCACCTGTCTCTGTGCTAATGAGAACAAACCCCAGCTTCGCTCCTGCCTTCCTTCCAGCCCTCCAAGAGGTGCCCTTGGCTGCCCTCCTTCGTTTTCTTTCGTTGCTTGTAGCTAATTTGCCCGCCCACCACCTGCCCCCGCCCCTCAAGGGACTGCCTCAGGATGAGCTGCCTAAGGTTCCACAGAAATAATGTTACATCCCGTTCCCTCTGGTGACAACGGGCACGCCAGTGTCTCACCATCCTGAAAGACAATCACTCGAAAATGCAATCGCCTTGTTGAAACAGCAGTCCCCAGAGACAGAGCTATGACAACCTCCACCAGCGGAGGAGAGTGTGATAAATGTTTACCCTCCTGCTCTAGCCAGATGAGGCTTAACCCCACATGGGGCCCACAGAGCCCTGGGAGCAGGTGGCTGCTTGGAGGACAGCCTGTCCTGGCTCTGCTTGCTCTGGATTTCGGAGAAGAAACTGCCTTGGTTTTGCCCAGTACTCTGCAGAGCTCAGAATTGCTGTTGGAGCACCAGGGCTGGGACTGGAGGATAAAGTGCAAGACACCAGGTAAAGAACGAGGGGAAAATAATGAGGGGAAACCTCTTAATATAAGTGTCTGAGAGTTGATCAGGACATACCCACGTGGAGTGGCTTGCTGTCTGTCTGAACGTCAAGGTTATGTGGGTGTCTTGTATTTTAAATGTCTATACCTGGTATCCCCAGCGGAAGCTTCTGACTTCATCCATCTATCCTTCCTGGTTAAGGCTTGTCCAGTGAGATCCTCCCGCCTCTAGCACAGGAGAAGTGGGCCTACCAGGTGTGGGGTTGGCTAGGAGTCTGCACCTCTACATAAGCCTCCAGCAGGGTTGGAAGTGTGGGTACTTGTGTTGTGCCCCCATACACAGCTGCCTGGGTCCAAGGCTCCTCACTACTAAGTGGTGAGGGGCATACCTGCTTGTCAGGAGTTGTGGAGGGCAGAGATGTTGAGGCCTGAGTCACATGAGGGCCCTGGTATACGGTAAAGCCATGCATCCTACGGGTATGTGGGAAGACAGGATCTTGGGTCAGTTCTCAGGAGCCTCACCTTCTTGGCTGGGAGAAGGGTTTGGCTTGTTTGGTGGGCCTTGGTCTCTGGCCCGGTTTCCTGACTCTGGTTGGTACAGCTTCTTTCTTTCCTAGGTTCTCTTTCAACACATGTTCCCCTCTCCTGTGCTTCCGCCCTAGACTAATGTTGCCATAGAGACAGTAAGACCGAGAGCCAAAGAAAAATCTCCCACTCTAACAATCTAAGCCCAACTTCTTGGAGCCTGACCCAGGGTACAAACAATGAGAGCCTGACTCCTAATGACTCCTGGGCCTCGCCCCAAATGGCCAGGCTCGTGGAGGACAAGTGATGTCAAGCAGTTTACTACGTTAAGGGGAGGTAGCTCAGTAACATGCTTGCCCTGTGAACACGAGGGCCTGCGTTCGATGTCCAGAATCCATGCAAAAAAGCCGGGAGCCATGGCACATGCTTACAAACCCAGAGCTGGGGAGGCACAGACAGAGGAACCCCCGGGGCACAGGCTAGAGGAACCACTAGCCTGCCAGTGTAGACTTCTAGACTACTGAGACTCTGTCTCAAAAAACCGTGTGGATGGGCCACACTCAGCATAACCTCTGACCTCCGCATACACAGACTTACATGTGCGTTCACACTTTGCCATCCACATTCATACTCGTCCCCCCAAAACCATTTACTACAAGCTAGAGAACCACCTTCCTCTTATACATTCAGATATGACCCCATGCAGATGGCCAGTGGCCACATAACATCTCATAATAGCTATACAATATCTCCACTCCCTCTCAGGAGTTATGTCCATTATTAACCCGCTGTCTTTCTGCCCTCAATGTCTATTCTTTCATAAAACTTTCATATCAGCTCAGGCCTGGTAAAAATGTTGCCTCCTTGCCTAGAGTCCATATTTCTGGCACAACAGTCCCCTCTTCCCTCCTCCTTCTGCACCTGAGGTTTGAGCTCTGACATGCTATTCACTGTTGCTATGGGGCTTGCTCTCTGCAGCCTCTCTGTACCCTGAGGTGTATGAGAATGGGGGTTGTAAAGTCTTGGGTAGCTGTGTTGTGTGTTAAAGGTTCCGGCCCCATGTATGGTTACTGCAGAGCGTGTGGGGTCCCCAGGAAGCAAATGGCGACACCTCTGCCAAGCCTCACCTGGCTTGGAGCCCTCATCCACAGAGCCATTGTAGACCTGGTTGATGAACTCCGGACGGTTGTCATTCATGTCAATGACATAGATGTACAGGTCAATAGGATTCTCCACCTTGTTGCCGTTCATGTCCACTGCGTGGGCTCGGAGCTGCAGAGCAACAGACAGTCAGAGCTGGCAGCCACATTCAGGGGCGTGCTTATCCCTGGGCAGGGTGGTTCCCTAGGGACTCACAGCACTGGGGTAGAACAATGTCTCCCCGCTCCCCAGGGAAAGAGGCAACTGGCCAGGGCTCAGGTGGGACCGACACATCCAGAGCTTCTGTGGACCTTGGTTTTCCCCTCTGCGCAGAGGGCGTCATGAAAACAGAAGCAGGGTAACAACCTCTGCCTGTGCTGCCAAGGCCACCCAGAGCCCCTGGGCCTGACTGCCTTCACGTGCCTGGGCTGGACAGGCGCCCTGCACATAATGTTCTCACGGTGGCACAGCCAGGCCACTGTACCCAGCGCATCAGCTCGGCTTAGGTGCCTGCTCCTGAGAGGGGAGGGCCTGGGGGGAGATCTTTACGGGGTGCACATAGGAGGAGGGTGTGTGAGGCTTCAGAGCTTGGGTGTCAAGGAGGGGCGGAGGGAGGGCCAAGCTGGCCAGGACCCTGGGGACTGCTGTGCTCTCGGGGTCCAGCTGCCTGCTCATCCTCTGGGAGTCTGCACATATGCCCAGAGTGAGCTTTCACACAGGGTGGAGGGGTCTTGTTGGCTCCCTCCAGACCACTCTTGACACCGAGCGGCTGTGGAGGGGCATGGAGGGGCCATTCTCCCCTCTTCTAGGTAACTGATGTAGCTGTGGTGGAACCTTCAGCTTAGGTAACAGTGAGGGGTGAGACCTGTGGGTTTTCATGCCTGCAGATGTCATTCTACCCTCTACTTAATACCAGGAATAAAACCCTGTGACTGTGTGGCACACGTGACAAGCAGGGGCAGGGGCCGGCAGAGTGGGCTGCACAGTGATCACAACAGGCTGGAGGTCATAGGCCTGAAAACTTTGAGACTGCTGACTCTTCTGGTGGGAAGATGATGGAGGATGCAGAGGAAGGCAGCCTGAGAAGCCCCAGCTACAGCTGGTTCCCTGCCTGGGACACCCTGCCAAGAGCTGCTACCTCCCAGAGGCATGAAAGCAATTTTAGAGATGCCCTGAAGCACAGGGCAGATAGAATATTCCAGTGGGAAATCAGAAGACTCAATAGAGCCCTCAAGTCAAGGCCTCAGGGAGGAAGAAAACAGAAAGAGGCAACTCTTCAGGCCAGGGGCTTTTTCTTACAGACCATGATAATTAAAAATGAATCTGTCTAATCTCGGAAGAAGTGAGTTTAATCAGTGAGTGGCTTCCTCCTGTGGCCCATGAAGAAGCAGAGTACTGATACAGGACTGACTCCAGAAGATCTGCTGCCCAGGGAAGGAGGCAGGGAGTGGGACAGGCTAGGCCTACTCTGTCTTTCTCCCAACCTTTAGTCCCACATCTGGTCGAGCTCCACCTCTAGGCTTGGGCACAGATGTCTCTAAAGATTGTATTCTAGAAGTGATGTGTACAGGCAGGAGGACAAGGGATTCGGGGGGGGGGGTGGTGTGGGGAGGGAGGGAGGCGAGGAACCAGCAGGGGAAAGGTGAGGCTGTGGCCTGCCAGAGTGGTCTTTGTTAGTGTGGAGTGTGAGAGTGGCACAAACAAGGACACACAGCTCTTTGTCAAGTGTCACCTGAACTTCACAGTGTGAGGCAAAGCCTGTGGGGGACCTAGGGAGGCACCGACCCTCCCTGCGTGGAAACCAGCAGCTAAGTTGATCTCTTACAACTACCTGCTTGAGCCTCTGCTCCTCACCCAAGCCTCAGCCTCAAACGGCCTGCCATACCCCCAAAATGAAGTCCAGTACAGAGACCAGCTCCATCACTCTCTCCTCCAGTTGTTCAGCCTGTGGGCAAAATCACCTTCCTGCTCAAAAAGGACACGGAGACTTTCCAACTTGGTCCCTGCCATTACCTCTCCACCCAAGCTAACAAGACAGTTTGCTCTCTCACTACTTCTTCCTGACCTCAGCCTCCACCATGTGAGAAGCAAAGTGAGAATGCTCAGATGGCATTTCCCAGGACACACAGGGAGTAGTGGTACCAGCACCTCTAATGACTGGGTCTGGAGACCCAACCTTGTCAGGGGGGTAGGGCCATGAAGAATTCAGTTGTTCCTTAGCTTAGAAGTGTTCATATTCCCCAAAACATGGGCCATGCTTACTCCAGTCATTGCTGTTTTCCCACCACCTAACACAGGGCCCAACAGAGAATGCTCAAGAAACGAACCTTGCATGGAAGGATTGGATGTGTGGTTAGGATGGACACATGGTTGGACAAACGGATGGTGGATTGGCAGATATGGAAATAGATGGGCAGATGATAGATAGGTGGGCGGGAGCATGGATGGACAGGTAGACAGGTGGATAGGCAGGTTGATGGATGGTTAAGTAGATGGCTGGATGGGCAGATGGTAGACAGACAGACAGACAGGCAGACAGGTATATGAGTAGGTGGTTAGATATTTACTCTGATGGGTAGATAGATAGGTGGGGGACAATTGGATGGGAAAGTGTAACTGTGTAAGTATGAGTGGATGACCAGATAGATGAGAAGAAGTGATTGCATAAAGGGAGTGTCTGGAAGGGTCATGCTTCTCCTTGAAAGTTTCTGGGAAGAATGAGCGGAGACCTAATCCAAGGTGTGAGCCTGACAGAGGTCACTCTTGTGTCTCAGCTCATCATGGAAGCCATGGGATGTGCAGAAGCTCCTGGTCTGTGGACTATAAACTGCAGCTACATAGGGCTCAGGTAATTGTCGCAGGGCAGGAGATTTTTGTTGCTCGGAATGGACAAACCACATTCCTGACGCTGCTTCCCCTGAGGCTACCTGGGCTTGGTTGGGAAGGTCACCGCTTCGAGTAACGGACCCAACCTGCTGTAATCTCCTCTTTATATAAATGTGTAGTGAGCAGCTTCAAGGCCAAAGCTCTTTCCTTGCCTGGGGATATAGTGTGGACAACCTGACAAATCCTTGTGTACAGGGAGCCTCCTGCTGGAGAGCAGAGATGGGGGAGCAATCCTGAATAAATGGCCATCAGACCGAAGGTACCAGGGTCAGCCTGCAATCAGCACAGAGCTGAAGCAAGAAGTCACAGCAATTAATATGACTGTATGGGGCAGAAGCTGAGAACTCCAGCTTTGTTCCCAGATGATTGCCAGAGCACTGGGCATTCAGCATCTTGGCATTTAGCCACAGGCACACACAATATCCCGAATACACCCACCTCTGCTCCATCCACCCGATAGGGTGGCCATCATTATGACAATGTCAAGGCTGAGATCTCTTCATGCTGGGGACAGACCTGAGTCCAGGGTGGGCTCGGTGACTTCCCTGGGGCTCACAGAAGTAAAGTGCTAGGTAATAGCCCAGGGGACCAGCCACAGTGTCACTTGGCCATCACATCATGGAGAGGGGGAGAAGAACCTGGCTGACTCCCTCATGTGTGAGGCTAGTGGGGGGGAAGGGAGAAGCTGAGATAGACCCCACAGCTTCTCTTTCCTTTCCCTTCCTCCTTTCTGAGTGGCTCTTGTCTTAGAGCCTCCCAGAGAGACAGCATGCAAATGAAAGACAGAAGATGAAACCTGGGAAGAGATTGGCAGTGCTGACTTGAGCTCACTCTGGCTTGGAAGCACTGGGGTAGGGATTGGCGACCACACTTTGACCAGCCTGCTGGTAGATGGCAGGGTCCTCCTCCTGTGCTTCAGGACCCTGCAGCCAGGAAGAGGTGTGTCTCGCTGCTGACACCCTGCTGGTGTGGAAGGAAGGGTGTGGAAGGGTTGGGCAGTCTTCAGACCACCTGTTAGCCCTGTGTCCCATATATGGATACTTACATGGTAAGAGGCTCTCTCCTCCCGGTCCATGGGCCGAGTGACATACATTCGGCCAGTCATGGAGTCAATGCTGAAGACCTCCATGGGGGGCTGGTCGGCACCCACACCTGTGATGCTGTACCGGATGGGGATGTCATTGTCCTTGTCAGATCTGATCTGAAAGACACAAGAATGGAGATGTGAGCCTACAGCAGGAGGATGGCACATTCATCCTGACGCCTGGAGGGCCTCACACTTGGCTATGTTCTCAGAGCATGGTGCATCACTGACGGAACAGCTCATCAACACTGCTGTCATATGGGTTCATGCTCGTCTCTTCCCCATCCTGCCCTACAGACTTTACTTCCCATCTGTGGTCAAACATATTCTGAGGGGAAGAGCCAGTCCAGTCTGAACAGGTTTTAGGGACGTGTACACTGAAGCAACCTGTGTCCTAGAGTGATCTTTTAGAGAAAAGTCCCCCATGCATATGTATGACTAGGCATGCATATGATTAAAATATCCCATGCCTGCCCAAAGGCCCTTTTCCAGATGTCAATCAAAAGTTTATCAGAGCAGAAACCCACCCATACCCCACCCCTACAACCAGCTTTTCTTCCTCAAGGACCCGAAAAGAGCCTCCAGGAATGCACTGTTCGGCTCGTGAGCAGTTTGGCTCACACATGCTGCTTCCTGCATATGTCCGCCTTGCACTTTCTCTTCTGAATAAAACTTCTGCAGCTTTGATATTTATGTGTGCTTCTTCAGTCCTTTGAAGATGTCAAGAACCCGAGATGTAATAGGCCCAGGCAGCAAACACTGGTAACAGAAGAGCAGTCAGTGGACAGAGAGTTCCTGAATGCTGCCAACCTCATGTGCAATGGCTCGTCAGGTGATAGGAAGGTTCAAGGGACAGTATTTCAAGATTGTTTTCTGTTTTTATTTTTATATATATTTTTTGAGCAAAGGTTCCTGTAGCTCAGGTTAGCCTCAAACCTGTTACATCACTGAGGGTGACTTTGAATTTCTGATCCTCCTCCTCTAGTTCCCAGCTCCTGGAATGACAGGCACGCATCGTTATGCCCAGTTTATTCAGTGCTGGGAACTGAAGCCAGGGCTTCGTGCATGCTAGGCAAACACTCCACCCTTGAGCCACATCCCTGACCCTGGATATTTCAGGTTTTAATATTTCAAGCTGTGAGATAGTACGACGGGCCACTAAGAGACACCAGCAAGGGTCCCAGTGGCAGGGTGAAGTCCCCATCCACACACAAAAAAGCAGGGATATTGCTAGGTGGGGTACTTCTTTACATGAAACAAGACAGGACCCCCAATGGAGGCATGAGAGAAGGCTGAGAACAGGTTTTTCGTTCCAGTTTTATATGTGTACCGCACTGCAAGCTAGCTCTAGAAACCCCCAATTTCTAGAAAACTCAGTTTGATGGGGAACATCTTTCTTTCTTTTCTTCCTTCATTTTTAAGGATAACTTGATTTTAAAAATTTAACTAAAATATAATTACATCATAATCCCCTTTCTTCCCCCTTCAAATTTATAGGCTCCTATTCTTTATTTTTTTTTTGTTGTTGTTGTTTGTTTTTGTTTTTTGAGAAAGGATTTCTCTGTGTAGCCTTAGCTATCTTGGGCTCGCTTTGTAGACAAGGCTGGCCTCTAACTCACAGAGATCTGTCTGCCCCTGCCTCACTGCATGCTGGGATTACAGATGTGTGCCACTGCACCTGGCTTTGTTCTTTACTCATTATTGTTACGTATTGTGGTAGTTTGAATAAGAGTAATTCTCATAGGCTCATACATTTGAATGCTTAGTCACCAGGGAGTAGATTGATAGGATTAGAAAAATTAGGAGGTATGTCCTTGCTGGAGGAAGTGTGTCACTGGGGTTGAAGTTTCAAAATCCCATGCCAGGTCCAGTTTCTCTCTCTCTGTCTATGGATCAGGATGTGGCTCTCATCTCAGCAATGGCCCCAGTTCTCACCTGCCTGCATGTCGCCATCCTCCCCACCATGATGATAATGGATTAAACCTCTGAAGCTATAAGCAAGTCCCCAATTAATGCTTTCTTTCATAAGACTTGCCTTGTTCATGGTGCCTTTTCACAGCAGTAGAACAGTGGCTAAGACATAAATTGGTATCAGGAGTATTGCTGTGATAGGCCAGACCCTGCTGCTTGTTGGTGGAATGTGGACTTTGGATTAGGAAAACAGTTGAACGTGAAGTGGGGCTTAATGGGCGGTATTAGCAGGAACATGGAAGATGGTGCTACGAGCAGTGTGGGGCCAGCTCAGGAAGTTTCAGAGAGGAAGAATGCTAATAAGTGGCCTACAGACTGTTCTTGTGATATTTTGGCAAGGAAAGTGGCTGATTTCTGCCCTTGTCCTAAAAATTTGCAAGAGGCTAAATTGAAAAATTTTGGATTAATGGCCCTGGCAGAGGAGCTTTCATGACATCCTAGCATTGACTGTGTCATATGGTTATTACCTGTCTCTCTTATGTACAATGAAAAGAAGCAAGCGGAGTAAAGAAAATGCAAAATGTACAGTTTGAAGAGAAAAAGCACCAGGGAATGTAAGACAGAAAGAAGACAGACTTCTAGCGCTCAAGGAGATAAAAAAGTTTAAAGAAAAGCCTGATGGTATAAAGGGAGTGGTGACCTTGGGGCAAGACCCCACCAGCTAAGCTTCCAACTTGTGAAAAGGAATTAAAGAAAAGCTCAAGCAGTGAACAGGAGCATCAACAATAGAAAGCTGATATGAATGTAGTTGAATTAGGGGCCATGTTGCAGCATCAGCAAGCAGCAGAACTTGGTAGCTTTGGCTATGCAGCTCTGGCTTTAGAGTCAAGGACACAAGAAAGATGGTGTGTCTTCTCCCACCAGGGCTAAGCTACTGAGGCCAGGCATGTGGCAGGGGGTCTCTGCCTGGAGGCTGAGAGAGGCCATTGTGTGAAGCTGTGAAGGTGAAGTCTAGGTTGTTGGAGATCCCAAGATGTTGGAGATGCCAGAGTGGTGAGCACCTGTCGTGGAGAGCTGCAGAGTGGGTGTGGAAACAGCTTAAGGGAGACATGTGTGCTACAGTCAACAAATCTGGAAGGGCTGGAGATCTGAGGAGCAGCACTTTGACATCGGACATGGAGATGCAGAATTTGGAGTTTGTCCTGCTTTTTTTTGCTCTTGCTTTGGTCCAGGATTTCCTCACTATGTTCTCTTTCTTCCCTTTTGGACTGGTAATGTATATCCTGTGCGATTGTATGTTGGAATTGTGTGGTCTGCTTCTTTATTTTGATTTTACAGGGGTTACAGTTAAGAGATTACCTTGAGCCTCAGAGACTTTAAATTTTGTTTTTTGTTTTTTGTTTTTCTTCTTCTTTCAAGACAGGTTTCTCTGTGTTACACAGAGCCATGGCTGTCCTGGGCTTGCTTTGAAGACCAGGCTGGCCTTGAACTCACAGAGATCCACCTGCCTCTGCCTCCCAAGTGCTGGGATTAAAGGCATGTGCCACCACACACAGCCATGTGCTGGCCTTTTATGCTGACCTCATGGTGCTACCCACTCTTAGGTTAGCTCTGTGATCCCTGGCTAACCCACATCCTTGGTGCCCACTCTTTCCTGCCTATGTCTGTGAGCAGCTGCAGGGTATCAATGCCAGCTCTGCAGCCTGGGTCAGGCTGCCAGGCTGCACACGCTGAATGCCTCCATTGCTGGCCTGCAGGTATTTTGTGCCCATTGGCCTTCCCTGCCTCCTGCAGCTGGCCATGTGGTACTTACTTCCTGCCCCTACAGAGTAAGCTCCGGAGCCCACTGGGACCCTGTTGCTGTGCACCACCACGAACAGCTCTCTCCAGGAACTGTTTGATAGGATTAGAAGGATTAGGAGGTGTGTTCTTGTTGGAGGAAGTGTACCACTGGGGGTGGGTTTTGAGGTTTCAAAAGCCCATGCTAGCCCCCGTCTCTCTATCTCTTTGACCACAGATGAGGATGTAGCTCTTAGCTACTTCTCATACCATGCCTGCCTGCATGTTGCCATGCTCCCTGCCATGATGATAGTAGACTAACCCTTTGAAACTGTAGGTAAGCTCCCAATTAAATGCCTGCCTTGGTCATGCTATCTTTTCACAGTAATAGAACTGTGACTTAGACACACACACACACACACACACACACACACACACACGAATACATACAACCTGCTGAATATGTTTAGTGTTGCTTGTGTGTATTTTTTGGGTGTGTGTGTGACCATTTGGGACTGGATAACCATTTTGGGTACTCAACTTTGGGGAAGACTAATTCTTCCTCTCTTAGCAGTTTTTAATTGATTGTAGCTCTTATCTAGTGAGAGGCTGCATGTGATTTCCATGCTGGCATGTCAAACAGAGAACACTTCCTCTCTCCCTCCCTCCCACCCTCCCTTCCTCCCTTCCTCCCTTCCTCCCTCCCTCCCTTTTGACAGAGTCTTACTTTGTAGCCTAGGCTGGCCTGGAACTCAGTGTGTAGACTGGGATAGTCCCTAGCTCAAAGAGACCTTTCTGTCTCTGTCTCCTGAGTGCTGGGACTAAAGGTGTACACCACCATGCCCAGCTGAGAAAACCTTTTTTAATCAGCATTTATCAGTTGAACCAGAGGTGGTTCACTAGAGTAAGGCCACCAACACTCTAGTCACCTAGGACAGCAGAATGACTCTCTGACGCTGTAACAGGAGGTAGAAGGTGAAGTTTTCACCACATAGACACCATGAAGGTCAGGGCAAACAGCTGCTTATGCTGGCTCTGGAAGCATGCAAAACAGCTGTGCATGTGTATGTGTGGTACGAAGTCTATGGGGTTCAGTTCTAGGTCCACAGTGCCCCTATTTATGCTTCTGTGACAAGGCAAAGGACAGGGTTTCTGAGAACAGGATCAGAATAAGTTAGTGTTAGGTGGTAAACATCGTGGCTTTTCCCTCTTAGCCACAGTCATCTCTTCATTCACGTCCTGTTGATGGCTGTTTAAGCTTGTGCCCTCCCAGTCCGGGTATAGAAGAAAAAGTCTACCATGGAGGGTGAGTTGTGCCCATATGCTGCCCTGGTGATGTGGACTGTCTCTGGGAGGCTGCCTCCTCTCCATTTTTTGCAGAGGCTTCATGGGATTTAACTAGGGACATGGAGAGTCTAGAGGAGAGA